TGAAAGTAGTTATTATTGGGTCCCCCTAATTTGGCTTGCCAGATTATTTCACAATGGAAAGGTAGAAATTTGGGCAAAAGAGGCATGATTTTCTAGAAAGCAGCAGTCTATGCTACAATGTGGTGCCTTTGGGAAGAGGAAAAAAATAATTTTTTGAAAACAAAGCTTCCTCAGAAGTTTCTTTAAAGAATAGAATTCTGACTCAATTTCTTGCATGAAGACTACCAACACTTTCATAAGGTATAGCTTTGAGGACTTAAATAGGAACCTGCTAGAGATTCTCCAGTCTTCTCCAATTGGTTCTCAGCCTTCATTTCCCCAAGGCCTGAGAGTGCTTTTACTTTGAGGTTTGATGGGAGCTTAAGAAGATCTCCTGTCTTTTGGTGGCTAGACTAGGGGGAGTTATTTACAACTCAGAAGGGAACATCTCTTGGGTTTTTGGTGGCCCTATTTCGGCTAAAAAAGCTTCAGAGGCAAGGTACAAGCTCTTTTGTTGGGTCTTCAGTCAGCCAAAGATCTACATGTTGATTCTCTTGTTGTTGAGGGAGACTGTAGAATCACAACAGGATGGGCTAAAAAGAGAAATGCAGGCCCTTGAAGGTCTGTCCATTTCTTGCAAGAAATTTTTTGACATACTTGGGTTCCACTCAATGCAGTTTCAAATGGATGCCTAGGAGCTTTAATTGTTTGGTTGATCATCATCATCCGTGCCTTATCCCAACCATATGGGGCCGGCTACATGAATCCTGTTTTGCAAATCTGTTCTATTTAAAGCCATATCCACTGTCAAATTATTAGTGTTTAAATCATTTCTTACTACTTCTACCCATGCCCCTTTTTGTCTACCCTGAGCTCTTCTAGCCCCTTCAATGTGTAACAAACTGGAACAGTTGGTGATCTTCTATGCACGTGCCCAAACCATTTTAATCTACTCTCTTTCATTTTATGACTTATTGGAGCTACTCCTAGGTTCCTAGGGATAATTTCATTCCTAATCCTATCCTTTCAATTTTTTCCGAGATCGGCTTCTATCAAGGCAAATTTGTGCCCACACCATTCTAACAGCCTTTTGCAACCTTGCATTAGGAATATCTCTCCATGAAATAAAGCACACAAGTACGGAGATATTCTCTATACAAGGCAGTAAAGGTTCCTCGAATGGGCTTTGCCCTGACTGAAGCCAAACTCAGTTTTTCCACTCATTCATCTTAGTATTCACAATTTTGCCACATTCACCTTTCTGGATATGTTTCTTAACCACCCAACACTCTGCTCCATACAACATAGCTCGCCTTACAACTGAATTGTTTGATTGATGCTTTAGCTAAAAGTGGGGTGGGAAGGAAAATGATGTATGGTGCAAATGTTTTTCCAATTTCTTGAGTGGACTTTATGTTTTCTGTTTGGAAGCCATGTTTGTACATCAATCCATGTACATCCTTCCTTTTTCAAATGAAAGTTACTTTTTCCAAAAAAAAATCATTGTGTTTCTCTCCTGCCATAAGCACCAAAAGACCACAACAAGGACCCTCCAAGCAAATTTTCCTTATCTAGACAAGCCTTCTATCCACTAGACCTTTGGTTGCAACTCAGACCTCTAAGAAGAATATGGTCTTGAACTAGAGTAGAGAGGATTAATGATAGCTCTTTGGACTCGAAGGGTCTTGAAAAGATTCCTAATGCATTTTGACATTTCAGAAGGCAAAAAAAATCATAGAATGATTCAACTCTCAGAAGTGTTTGCCAAATTGAAAGAAGGTTTGTTTGGAGGCTTAACGAAAGAAAAGTGAAGAAAACAAAGGAAGTTTCCAAGAGAAGCAAAGAAATTTCTGTTCAAGCCATTAGAGAAGGCGAGTAATTGAGCAAAGTCTTGATGCAGTGTTGATTTGAAGTTTGGTATTCTTTTGTTTTCAGTTTGTTGACTTGTCAATTGTTGTGAGTTTGGTATTTTTTGTTGTTGGCTTAGGTAGGAGGCATTTGGTTAGAGTTGTAGGTTGAATTTTGACTTTGCATTGATTGTTTGATCAAGTGTCCAGTTTTAGGGAATTGTTGTCAAACTTTCTTTTGGTTTGGTGAGTTTGTTTTTGGAGTGATTGTTTGGGTTGTGTTGGTGAAGTGTGGAGTTGGGTATTGGTTGGGTGCAGGATGGTCTCTTTTCCTCTCTCAAGTAGGGATGGGTTTTAGCTGAGCCAAGCCAAATAATTGGCCATTTGAGCTCAGCTCGACAGTGAGCTAGAGACTTGAGCTTGAATTTGACTCGACTCAAAAGCTCATATGTTGGAGTTCAGCTTGGCTTGAGCTCGACTGTGAGCCAAGCTTCCTATAAAAAAAAATAAAAAATTATACATATAAAAATAAAATTCTACATATAAAAATGACTTCTCATTTTACATATAAAACTAAGAATTATAAAAATTATTTACTTGTATACATATAAAAAATAAAAATATTATATATGTAATACAAGCTCGACTATGCTTGTGAGCCTCACAAGCTGAACTTCATTAGGCTTGAGCTCAGCTCAAAGCTCGGTTTAGACTAAGTTGAATCAAGCTTTTCACGAGCTGAGCTCGAATAACTCGTGAAAAGCTCAACTTGTGTCCACCCCTACTCTCAAGTCTCAAGTGACTTCTTGTCACCTTTCTTGTAATCTCTTCCAAAAAAATCTAGGAAATGACTGACAAAGGTCCCTCCACCATAGATCATCCTAAAATTTCACCTAAGTACTAGAAATAGTACCGTACCAGATGTGTTGTGAAAAGATAGCGAGTAGAGACCAACTATCTTTTCCAAAACTCTTTTCAAGGGTGGTGTTTCTAGCAGAACCACAACCCCACCCATTTGAGTCCAGCCAATAAATGCTTTTAATAACCAAATGTTGCAATGGCCCTCTCTTTTGGAGACCTCTACAACCACTTCCCTACCAATACTATATTTTTGTCCTTTATTTGCTCAATTCCTAAACCTCCTTGTTCCTTACTCCAACTAGTGAGATGATCTATTTTTTGTCATGACCCAGGTCCCAAAAAAACTCCTCCTAACTTTTTCTATCCTTTTCACCACCTTCAGAGGAACTCTAAACACTAAAAGTAAAGTTATGTTTAATAAAACTCAACTCTAATCTCTGAGAAAGCAAAAAAGATCTAATACTGCTCTAGACTCTGAATAGATAGAGTTTGATTTATTTATTTATTGCTTTTCTATCCTCCAAATGTAATTGAATTATTTAAATATCTGAAAAGAGATTGTTTTACATATTTATCCCTATAAATTGATGAGTTCTTTTTTGGTAGATGAAAAAGAAACAAATGAAAACTAGGAAAAATACGGCTTGCTAGTAACACTAGCTCCACCAAACAAAAGAGAAGCAAAAGAGAGATTGTGGTGTGTGTGAGAGAGAGGGAAAGAGAGATGGGGTTTTAGGTAAGAATAAAGACATGGGCTTTTTTGTAACAGAGTGAAGTCACTTTTGGAATAAAAATTTATAAAACACCTCTTAGTGGGCTAAGAGGTAGATGGGCCACTAAGCCACTAAAAGGAATCTTTTAAATTAAAAGACTAGACTCAGAGGTTGCACAAAACAACCTAGGACATCTGAAAAGTATGTCCATTCAATGCAAACAAATGAGCCCTAAATTGGAAGATTGGATAGGGTAGATTTGACATGACTAATTTTCCCCCCTTTTGAGATTTTTTTTTCATGCAGCCAACATTTTAGAAAACCTCTCTTTTTTTTTATAATTAACAGTAATATTTTGATCAATAATTAACAGTAAAATTTTTTTGATCAATAATTAACAAGTAAAATTTTATTAAAAGCCTTAGAGGAAACTCCCTTGCATGTCCAGGCTAGAGAGCAGGTGCCATACACACAAACAGTATAAAGCTGACCATATACAAATGGACCCCATGCCCTGGCATCCCTCATTTACCCCCTTGTACAGATAGATATTCTGCTCTGGCAAAGCTGTTAGCTAGGGTGTTAACCAATCTAGTGATCCACTTGAGCTAGCAGTTCAAGCTGCTTCCAATGGATTTGGCTTTGCAAACCAAAGCTCTAAACCTCAAGGGTGATTCCTCCTCTGAAATAAGCCAGGAGATAACAACTTGGCAGTCTCCTTCTAGTGGCACATTTCTCCAGTTTATTGTGTCATCAGATTGAGACCTTGGATTAAAGCCAACAAAGACAACAAATAGTTGCCAAAGCCTACAGCCCCTTGAAAGCTCATGACAATGCTGCCTCCTTCCTCCCTTGTCACCTCTCCCACACCTGACCTTCCACTTCCAGGGTTTACCTAAACAGCACCCATCAAACTTAAATTTTGGTCTGCCAGCCTTAGGGGGGTACTAATTGATCTTCCTCTGTGGTTTTCTAAGTGGCACACTAGCAATAATGTTCCATCTCCTTAACATATCATCCATCTTCACATCCTGAAACCCCTCACATACCAGTACCCCTTGTGCAATTCTTATCTTGATCAAATCAATAAGAATTTCCACTTGTTCCTTAATTTCAAACACCTCTGCATTTCTCTCCCCCCCCCCCCAATGCTCCACATTATTGCAGCACTTGTACTATGCTATAGAAGTTTCATTCTTCTGGCATGGCAGCCCGTGGTATCTTGTCATTACTGCAGTGATTGTGCACCACGCTCTGAGTTATTGTAAGTTTTTCAGATTATAATACTTACATTCTTCTTGGGCAGGTAAGCTTGTTTTATCAATAACAAGAGAAAACTTAGGATTAAGGTAGTGAGAAATGATTTGAGGGGCCATCGCTTAACAATTGAAAACAGAGCCGAATGGTAGTGCAGGATTTAGGAAGTCGAACCCATATGGTGGAGACAAGGCTTAATTGATTTAAGAGAAAATTCTTACTTTAAGAAAACTATTACCTGCAAATTGTCACTTCCTTATATAATCATATTGAGAGAAAGCAACGCAACCGTATTCATATGCCCCCTAATGAATTGACTTTAAAAATAAATAAAGTATCTTGCCTGGTTAGGTGTCACAGGAGCAAGTTGGGTTTCCTTATTCTCTTCAGAGCCAAACCATATTCTTTCACCAGGAACTGAAGCTTCAGGAGGTAAAAGAAGTTCAACATTCTCATGCGATGCATCAGAAGCAGCCAAAAGCATTCCACTCGATTTAACCCCACGCATATTTCTAGGCTTCAGATTAGCAAGGACAACCACTTGTCTGCCCTACACGAATGATACGTTTGTGTACATAATCAAGTGAAGCATGAAGGCTGAACCTAACTTAATGTCATCGACACTCTACTCAGAGAGAGAGAGAGAGAGAGAGAGAGAGAGGGGAGAACCTGAAGGTCGTCGAGAGGGATGTACTTGACAAGGCCGCTGCATATCGTCCTGGGTTCGGGCTCACCGAGGTCGACCTCTTCAACATAGAGAGAATCCGCCTCGGGATGTCTCCAGGCTCTAAGGATGCGGCCCACCCTGAAGTCCAAAGCATCCACCGCATCCTTTAGTTGATCCGGTGACGGTGCGGCTGAGGGTGCCGGACGTTCCGCACCAGAATCGCCTTGCGGCTGCGGGGCGTCCAAGGCAGAGTCCGCAGATGGGACAGAGGAGGCAAGGGGAGCGTCCGAGGCCGAGCTGGTGTACGCAGCGGTAGTGGCTTTAACCGATGCCCGACGAAAGAACTGAGAAGGCGAAGGAGAAAAGGACGCCCTTATGGTTCTTTTGAGAAGCAAGGATCCAACCACTGCCCCATTACCATTTCCGTGCGAAGATGACAAGCTGGTGCGTGTAGAACGGAAGCACCAGGTTTTACACGAAAGCAGGAGAGCACCGCCTTTCAAAACTGCTGCTGCAGCCATCACCTTCCTACTTCCTATTCAGTATTCACTTCACTCCCCACCACCACCGCCGAGAGGTGAGACGTGAGGCGTCAGAGAAACGCAGACCGAGGAGAAATGGTCAGATGGATCATGGATGGATAGCAGGATAGGACATAGGGTAATGCTGAACCGGAGCCGAACAAAAATTATTGGAATACTCCGGCTTAATTAAGGTTGAACCGGATATTGTCCCAATCTGGACTTCTGGAGACGAACAAAAACTATTGGAATCATCAGCTACATGAAACATGAGCTCCCTCTGCTAGAGAAGTCCTCAATGCCTCAATGGAGCAGAATTGACTAGACTCTATTGGCTGCGAATTACACCAAACCCTTTTTTAAGAATAGACCAAATATCCCCAAAACAAAATTCTCTGTCTACTCTCTCTGGGGGCTATGACTCGATCGACAAATTTTTGAAACTGATGTCATTCATTCACAGAACAGAAGCAAGCAATGACGCAGCAACAGTAGAGCTGCGTATATGAGTTGCCGATCCTGATCTTCTGAATGCTCCTCATCCCAGCCACTACAGCTTCACATGGAAGATCGAATAGAACACGAACTCGTAAACTTCATTTCCATGGCGGTTTCCAACTCATCAGATTCTTAAATATCGGTGCGGAATAAACAGTAAACATGGTGATGTCTCTTAACAGCATCAGCAGACAGCAATGCTTTCAAATAAGCTAATTTTGATGTGGAGGAGACAAATGGTGTGGATTTCTCGGGATTTCCATTTCCAAAGAGCTTAAATGCAGATGGTGAGAAGTAATGTAAAACAGGAGTTTGGCCGTCTGGGCCCAAAGCCTGGACGAAGACCAAGCTAAGTGGATAACTGCTGAGTGTCAAGTCTTAAAAGGAAATTCCGTTACATGCTCAGCTCTGGTTGTTGTCTTGTCAAAGTTCCATTCTTGGTATGGAGTAATGGAGTATGGACCCCCAACCCACCAAATGATCATAACTAACAAGTAACAACTAATTAATTGGGGCGTGTGGAAATTGATGATCCCAAAATTTTATTAATATTTGGGTCCAGATGCCATTTCTTTCATACACTCTCATCATGGACCTAATTATGGTTGGGTCCAAATTCTTTTACCTCTCAGACTACTACTGTTGCTGGCAACGGTCGGTGAGTTTGAAATGTCTACAGTTCTGTACTTGCAAAGCAAAAAATTTCACTCCTGGCAAAAGGTGGGTAACAGGGTTTGTGTGCTCACTGTGGTGTCGTCCACTAACTAATGGGTCCTTCCCTTCTTCTCCTTCCATGAAAGAGCCCAAATGAACTACAGTAAAGGAAGGGCGTTTAACGCGTTTTCTGATGATGATAATTTATTGCTCAAGTTTCCAGTTTCAATACCCAGATACAATCTCTGTACCTGAATCATGTAGCCCAATGTCGAGTCATATTTGCTATCAATGTCAATGAACTTAATATGAAGGAAAACAATTAGTGATTTCCCTGAAAAATATATGAATTGCATTCCTAATTTTCATGGAAACAAGCCTTCACAGTTGAGAAAATTAAAAAATTATGATGTTGTTGCATGAGACGGATGTAGAGAACAATCAACCTATGCTCAAAAATGACTCAAAAGGGAAATTAGAATTTAGAAGGAATGTATAAGTTCCAGCAGGAAATCATTTGTTTTCATTCATCTTCATTTTACGAGCAACCAACCAGACGGAGATTAAAAAGAAAAAGAAAATTTTGAACCGAGCGTCTGAGCGTGTACCGGAGAATCGAATCAGAACTCAGAACTGCACACCGAAGTGAAGTCAACGGTGACAGATTTTATAATTTAATTAGAAACGAAATTGTCTTTCCCCTCCCTTTTTTTCTTCGGTTTTTTTTTTTCCTTTTTGATGAAAAATAAAGAAAAAAGAGTTGTACAGGTCTACAACAGGACGACGACGACAAGGACAATGAGAGAGAGAGAGAGAACAAAGCGACCATTTTCATATACAAGATACCTCAGAGCTAAATAAACAAGTTCGTGTCTTTACTTTCGCCTTCACGGCGACTCCATGTCAGATTCCCGACCGATTTCACTTCATAATTCATATAATAATAACATAAAATTACATATCTATTTTCTTAATTTCAGCAATGCACGTCGGCGAGAAGTTTGTAACGGCGGCAACCCAGTTTGGTTTTGGCCAGATTCCTCCAGCGATCCAAGGCCTTGTTCTTCTCCGAGCACCGAGCGGCAGCGACAGTACTATTCTTCTTCAGAGACGAGGGTTTCTCCTTCTCCTCCCTTTCCTTGTCTTTCTCTTTCTCTCTGGTGGTCTCCGTCGACGCCACGTGAAAACGCTTCTCACCGGAAGCCGCGAATCGGTCGTCTTGCCGGCAAATCCGCTTGTCGTCGTTGCGGGAAGGAGATGTTGGTGAAGGGTTGTTGTCTCTTTCGGGAAGAGATTGAGCGATCTCGAGCAGGAACTCGAACACCTTGCTCCTCCTCCGTTTACTCTCTTTCCTCTTCTCCTCTTCGTGGAGGCACCACTCGCAACTCCACTTTTCGGTGTCAATCTCCGGATACAACCTGCTACAGTACCTGGGGTTTGTTTGCGTTCCCCACAAAACGAGAAAGCCGTCAACAAACAGTTAGATGGAAAGATTTTTCAGAGGGAGAGATAGGGAAAAAGAGAGAGGAGTAAGGTGTTTACGTGTGCTGAAGGCGAAACCCGCATTTCCTGCAAAGGACCAAGGCGTCTCTAAAGCCAACATCCCCACATAAGCTGCATATATCCTCGATTGCTTCTGCTTCTGCTTCTGCCTCTGCTACTGCTGCTGCTGCCGCTCCTCCATTTGCAAGCTCTCGATCTTCTGCCTTTCTTTCTCTTTCTCCAATCATGTTAAACATGAAGAAGAAGAAGGAAGACAAAGAGAACAAAAGCAAAGACAAGCCAACAAGGCCCCGATTTTCTTAGATTTTGCTTGCTTTTGAGTTGTGAGGTCTCTCTCTCTCTCTTTGTGTAAACTTTAAAACTAATAAATTAAAGAAAAAGAAGAAAGAGAGTACGGTTCCCAAAAGAGGAGACGAGGTTCTCTCTCTCTCCATTGGATTCGAATAGAAAAATCAAAATTCTACTCGTCAGATGTGGGTCCCTCACGAAATGGGATTTGCTTTGCTCCTCACCCGATTCCCCGACTTGGAAGTGCCATGACCAGGAGTCAGAAATCGGAAGCCGGAGCGGAGCAGAGTGGCGAACAAAGCAAAAAGCCGGTTCAATTCAATGGGGTTCGGGAGCCGTTTACTGGTTGTTGCCGGTCTTTAGTCTTCAGTCTTCACCTCTATTGGTGAGTTTCGCGTCAATGGGTTCCCCGACGTGGCGTATTCTTAAACAAGCAACTTGTCACTTCCTCAAGCAGTAATTGGGAAAAGCTCAAAAGCACCACGCAAATATCTCGCTCTCTACCTGTACCTGGGTCGTAAAAAAAGTTGAAAAGCCCATAAAAGTACTAAAAGAAGCCCATAATGTAATGGAGCTACAAATGATGTATGCACTTGGCCAAGCCCAGAAATGGAATAACAATTACAACGAGTACAAGAAGTTTTGGAAATTCTGATGAACAATTGTGGAAGTTCACACCCATAACGTCTCCCACAATACATCCCCGCCGTGTATTGGAAACATCTTTCAATGATGATATCATCTGGAGATATTCACAATACAGGGCGGGGATGTACTGTGAGACGTTATGGGCTGCCCCTTGTGGGGCGCAGATTTGAACTCGGTTGGAAGAGGGAGAGGTAACAGAATGACCATTGATCAATTATGGATCTCAGAGAGAGAGAGAGAGAAAGTTTGGTTAGTTGTTCTGTATTGGATTAAGACAAGAAGTTGGGGCGCTGTCGCATTCACGTGAAACCAGTGAAGAAACAAGGGAAAATATCTCCTCTCCCCCAATCCCATTCTCTAATCTCTTCCCTCTCTCGTCCTCCAGATCAACAAGCCAAGGTAGAAGAATTTGCATTGCAATATGAAAAGAGTGTAAATTCTAGTTAGCTTTGCTTTCAATTTTACTTCACCTAACCTGACAAGTGCACATAGAGATACGATATTAGGGAGGGTTAGGCCTCTTCATGGGCCGGGTCGGGCTTTTATTCATCATTAATGGAAATACGCTAGGCCCGAGCCCGAGCCCGGCCCGACCTAATAAAAAAAATTACAATTTTCCCTATTCAAATTAGAATTAAAAATTCAGATGGTTTTTTTTTTCCTATTTAAATAAACAATGGGCCTACAAGATGGTTTTTTTCCCTTTTTTTTTACGTTTTAAAACACAGTTTTACATTCTTAAATCAAAAAATTTATTCAAATGGACATAATCACATAACCCATTTTAAATCTAATTTTAGGTCGGGCCGGGCTATTTTGATAAAACCCGAGCCTGGCTCGAATTTATTGCGGGCCGGGCTTTTTGGTCCAAGTTTAAGCCCACGGGCCTATAAACATGTTCAAGCCCATCCGGGGGCCGGGCCGGGCCAGGCTGGCCCATCAGGGCACCCAGCCCATGAAGAGGTCTAGGGAGGGTCATTGAATTAGGGGTGTCAATTAACCAGTTTTGGGTTAGATGATACAAGTAAAAATCAATTTAGACTGGCCAACAAGACATTGAATTAGACGAGTCCAGACACCATGATATCCACCTGACCCATCCATAATGGATTATATTGGGTTGGGTCAGATTGAATCAATTTCGACTATGATATGGAAAAGATATGATATCTAAAAAATAACGGACTAGTAAATTGAAATCATAAACTAAATAGCAAATAAGGTGTTATTTATCAAAATTCATGAATGGATTTTAATTGATCAAAACTCTTTCTATATTATATCTTTCTTGCATCATAGATTTTCCTATTAATAGAAGATAAATCTAAGTGCCAATAGACCAAAGTTTAGATTAGAACCGGTCTATATTAAAATTAATTTAGAGATATTGAACAGTCCAAAGATTGAATTAGACCAAATCAAATCCAGTACAATTGACAGCCCTGGATGAAATGTTTGAGTGAGCATTTTTTTTCTTGTTAATTGTTTATTATTATGTTAGAAAAAAAAAAGACGAGATGAAGCATGCATGAATCATGATGTGCAGGTTTATGTACTGTGTATGGTAGATCCATTATTTCATCTCTCTCTTGCCCCTCAAAGGCAATCTCCCTCTTTCCTTTTTACCTACTTTCTAATGACTATCAACCCTTTATTGTTGAAAATTTGAAATATCTGAAAATTTGATAGTACGAGTCGTACCGTAGATTGAATTCAGCCGTTCTGATGAGTTTTGACTCGTGGTGGGGCCATTTGATCAAAGACAGTCAAAGTCAACAGCCACGTGATTTTCAATTTATTGACCCATTCGATAATCAATTCAATCCGGTTGTCTTTCTTTTTTCTTTAGTATGAAAAAAACAAAAAAAGGTAAAGAATCAAAGGAAGCAGTACCGACATGTTTAATGCAAAATTTATGATTTTCAAAATTATAAATGTTTAAAATGTCAAAAACTCCATTCTATACATCAATGTCCGCCCATGTTCTAAACTGACACCCACCCTAACTATACTTTGGGAGATCAAATCAGCCCCCTACAAGATTGTCCTCCGTAATGTCACACAGTACATCCCTGCCACATATTAAAAATATCTTCCGATGATAATACTAAAATTGATGATATCATCATTGGAAAATGTTCTCAATACACAATGGGGATGTGTTGTGGACAAGATTCAAACTATCGATACACCCATACACAATGGAGATATGCTGTGGGTAAGGTTCAAAATATCAATATACCCGATATACTAATAGGAGCGTTTCAGACGAATCGATACCCTTTTTTTTTTATTTTTTTAAAACCGGTTCAAGGAGACCAGTTTAAAGCTCCTCCACCCCCTGAATCGGTCAAACCCCCGATACACCCACTATAAGAACATATTAGAGAAGTCCAGAACAATACATATCAACTGATACAAGCCGGTACATATCGATAGTTTGATACTTTGAACCTTGGCTGTGGGACGTTGTGAGAGACAATCTTGTGGGGTGCTTAGTAATTTGGGCCTAAAAATTCTGACCCAAGGGCTGTATCATCATTCTCTCAAGATCAAAAGCGACCAACTTTTTGGTCTCCAACCGGTGGGGGATCAACGATCAACGACGGAATATGCTGTAGGGGCGAAGATGTGAATTCCTCCGAACAAAAAAAAAATGAAGGCCACATTTGACATTTGGTTTGGTTAGTTCACAATTGTCATTCTCGAATTCCTTTCTTTTGATCAACCAAAGTAATATATCTTTTGCGCTGCAACAGGCTTCACATGTAAATTTCTATTATAAATCCCATATGAGATCCAGTTTTCGTATATAAAATAAAATTTCTCAATAGAACCAAACATAAAAATGATAACTACCAAATATCAATATTTTAAAAACCACCCCGGCCCACTGATACTTTCTGGTCTTCTTGACGCCACCGTTGCATCATAGACTCTTGAGACAACAGCCGTCTGATATTTTTCTCACTGCCACAATCAGTCACCTTACCTACAGTCAACAAAAAACCATGGAATGATGGAACAAGGACAAGATTCATTAAGATGATACCTCTGCAAGCCAACAGAAACCATTACGAGACTCCTTTACTACTAACAAGTAACAAGGAAAATCCCTGAGAAGCCTGGGGCAGAACCACATAAATGCATAAATAAATAGATGAAAATGAAGCCAGCATCTGCCTCTGAAATTTTAACTCATAATGAATTGCTTTTCAACCAACTAGGAAAAATCCTTGTAAGGGCAATGTCGATGGCTCAAATAACCACCACACGGACTCATTTTCCCCTCAAGACAAACCTCCAGAGACGTACTCATGTACCATCTACAACTTTACCAACAAAGGAAAAGTGGCATCCATTAAAGGATTATCTCCAAAGTCCAAGCTACTAGAATGGTTCTTTAGAGTAAAGTTTCACCATTTGAGAAAGCAGATCCAATTTGCCAGACAAGCCAAAACATCACAAACATGACATGTACCCCATATTCATACTTGAAACAGTCGAAATTTTTTTTAGTCACGACTGGAATCACCAGAGGCAGATAGGAAAGATTTCATTCTCCCAAATTTGAAGCACAAAACTGACAGCATGCCCTTTAATGTAGCAATGCCCAAATTCCAGAACCTCATTTATATTACTAGCATTCTGAACTAGTCCTACAATTTGGCACCAAGCATACTGATTGATAGCTTCGAGATTCTACATTACTTTTAACAGTTTCTACCATCTTATGTCAGTATGTTTCTTTTCTAAAAGAGAACAGGAGTAATCTAGTGAGCTGTACCAAAAGATTATCTGTCCAGACAGATTAAAAATTACAATAACAGACAGAAAAGGAACCAACTTTTCCCAAGTAAACATGGACAAAGAGTGAATTTCAATTTAGTTGAATTGAGAACCATATGCTACCAAACATGGCCACTTATGTTGCATAAGAGGCATCTTATATACAATGCTGATCAATGAGCAGGAATTCAATTAAAGAAAAAGGTTTTGATCTTTTCAGGACAAAACAATATCCAGGACTTGCATTCTTTCTCTTCTCAATTTTCTCAGATTTATGTAACAAAGCATTAAAGAGTAGCAAGAAAGGTGATTGCTTCTTTGTAGTATCAATTTTGTTAGGATATCATTTATCATGGAATTTTTCAAAGAAAACTGGAGAAGCTCAGCCTTGATTAAAAATTCATAACAAGGAACAAATGACTTGTGCTGAAATACACATCAGAACTCAGAAGCAATAGGCAAGCCTAGCTTCAAACCAAAGTTAATAAAAAGCAGTCCCATGTCCTGTTTTGGTTGGTTGTATATATGGTTCATTAGACATCTTGCGTTCATTGCCATTAAAAAGAAAAAGCAGTTCCAACATATATAAACGGTTACACACTTACACAGATCACCATAAATTAATGGGAAAAAATATAAAGACAAAACATAACCAGCAGTCTGGCAAGAATTCATAACCTAAGTTTTAAACATCTCTCTTGCATGTAATGATGTAGAATGGTCAAAGCTCATAATCAAGTGGTAATTGCCACTCTTTTAAGTTGTTGTTTAACTCAGGCAAAGCCACAAGTCATTTTTTGATCAGTCAGATTTACTTGCTGCTCTTTAGTTTGCATAAAGCATATCTAAACCACCGATCAACCTGGACAAAAAGAGGAGGAAACTGGAGTACAGATGAAACAATTGATAGCAAGGATTGGACATTCAGATCATCAAAAACCGAAATGGTAAATGTATTTTGTCTTGTAAATAGGAGTCAAAACTGAAATGGAATCATATATAGAAGGCAATGAGTGGGGCGGCAGAATCTATTCATTCTGCTCTCTCTTTCTTCAATTTTTCCTTCTCTTCTCCTCCTCTTCCTCTGTTCTTCTCTTTTCTTTTCATTTTTTTTTTTTATTGGACTTCTTTTCTGTTTTTTCTGAACAGGTTTCGTACTAAACCTAAGACTACTACAGCAACCTTTTCAAGTTGTATCAAATATCATCAGGAAATACATGATATAGTGTAAAATCCTGGGCTGACAAGTGTGACAAGTTGAGTTCGAGTATGAGAGCAGCCACTTCATATAAAAAATGCCAAAGGTGATGTCCATATCCAATCAACCTCTCCAAGACTGGCGATAGTTGGGACTAATATTGAGTAATGGCACTATATGAGCCCCTATTGACAATTAGTGACAGCAATTCCTGCCAAATCCTAGAGTTCCCAAAAATATTGAAGAAATTTTCAGCACATATGTAAATAGTATGTATGTATGTATGTAAATAGTAGATAGTAGGTAACTCAATACTACTATAGCTGCATTCTAGAAATTTCTACATGCTAAATAATCCCAAAATTCAATTTCAGAGGGAAAAAAAACTTTCACTGTATAAGGATTTCCACAAAATTCAAAAATGGAAGAACAAGATATGGTTTGCATCAGATTGATAGATTTAACAATTCTCATCTATAAAACTACAAGTTGATCATGGATAACCAAATGGTTTTAAGATTCCAAATATTTTTTTCTTCTTTTTCTTAGAGAAAGAAAGACTATTGATTAAAAGTTCACAGTAAAAATAATCAAACATGAAAAAGAAAAATACATAATCCATACCTGTTCAAACCTCTTTTTTTTTTCTTTGTTCTGCCTGCAACTCAAAATTTTCTATTAGTTCAGAACTTCAACAAGCAACATTTGAGACTTTTCTAAACATTCAAATTAAATAAAATGATAAATGAGAACTGAGTAGATAGAGTCACAGAAAAGACAGTAAGGTTTTGAAGAGACCTCTAATGGTTTCAGAAAGAAACAATGTAAAGGCAACCTTCTTCAGAGTTCCTTGGCATTTACACAAACAGATCATCAACTTTATGACACACACACACACACACACACAGATCTTTGCTGCAGGTAACATTGGTTATTGGTAGTGGCAAGGCTTGAATACCAATGAAGAGAGAAGACGGTTGTTTATTTTTAAGAGAAAAGGCGTTGTTGTGAATTACAATAGAAAATGCCATAAAAGAATAAGACTTAAAATTTTGCTTGAGGCATGGTTATTTTTTGAGCCATGGATTTGCCTAATTGTTTTACTCAAGTTCTCATTCTAAAAAGAATGAGGCCCAAAGCAAGAATTGTGTACGGATTATTTTTGGACATCTATGATGGATTGCCACTCACTATAGAATAATGATGATGATAATGATGATGATGATGACAACGACGATGATTTATAAAATGCAACATGCCATTCAAGTCATCAAGAAGCTTACAACCTATCAACTTAATAACTTATTCGCTGAAGGACCAAGTAATAAGTTATTCAGTTCAGCCATTTCAGTTGTTATCAAATGGTCCATAGCCTAGACTAGAAAAGCAGCCCAACTTGAAATATCTTAAATAATAATAACATATAAAATTAATAAATAAAAGTAAACTAATTCTCTTTTAATTTAAATGAATCAATTGTCAATTAATATCTACTAATGAGCAGTAGGGGTGTACAATCGGTCGGTTCGTTTCAAATCGAGAACCTAACCGATTATTCAGTTTTATCATTTCCTCTAACCGAACTGAATTATATTTTAGAACCAAACGGACCCTAACCGAATTTGATTCGGGTTGGTTCAGTTTTCGATTCAGTTGGCCCCTGGTTCCATACAAATGATAAGCATTTAATAAGTGTTATTAATTAAAAGTTAAATGGCCCCAAAACCCAATGGTTTTAATTAATTAACTATTATTAATATTAATTAAAAGTTAGAATGACCTCAAAGCCCAATGTTTTAATTAATTAGCTATTCATTAATTAAAAGCTAGAATAGGCCCTGCCAATTGGGAATTGGCCAATTAGCCATTTTCAAAAATAATTAACGATTAATGAACAATTAATTAGTAAACAATAAATAATGAGTCTAGGTTTTAATTAACTATTATTAATTAAAAGTTAGAATGGGCTTAAAGCCCAATGGGGAATTGACAAATTGTTCATTGGGAAATATAATAATTAATTAGCATAAAGTATTAAATGAAACATTAATGTTTAATATATTTAACTAAGTAACAGCATTAATTCGGTTTTCAGTTAGCTTCGGATGAAAATTTCAGTCAAACCGAACCGGAACCAAAAACCAATTTTTTTATAAAATAAAAATCAAACCAAACCGAATTAACTTATTCGGTTTGGTTCGGTTCAGTTTGCGGTTTATCAACCGAATTTGAACACCCCTAATGAGCAGCATGGCCTGTGAAGAATCTTTTCTCTCTATAGACCCAGCTCAATGTTCCTCTTACAGTCTTATTAAAACATTCTCATGATTCCATCCTAGATTTATTCTGACTTCGGCACATCGCACTAAAGGGACACAGCCCTGGTGAAAAGGCAAAGCAAACCCAGTTCTTTTTTAGCAATAGAAAAATCACCCAAGAGGGGCGTTTTTGTCATTTAATACATGCAATTTATGACTATTCCCCCTTATCAAAACCAAATCATTCCCCTTATATTTATAGACAAGAAAACAACATTCAATTAACATTCAAGAAGTCCATCAACTCTGTAGATGCCTCGATGAAAAAATGTTGATTGACATGGTACCGGAAGAGATTTGACCAGTCAAAGCACCCCGTGAATTTTGATGAATATCACGTGATTGCTTAGCTCTTTTATGATACAAGCTGGTTGGCTGGTATCATGTATTTCCGGTATCATAGTTGAACCTAGTACATAAATATCTAGTTTATAATTTTTTGCTTGGCTGGGTACCATGCTATCCGGTCCAGTCTAGTCCACTCAGGTCCTATTTGGCAATACTAGGATTCTTCCAACAATGTGCTTGTTTAGCCTACTAAGATGGAAGGGATTGGGAGGGAAGATTTCTTGATAAAGAAATAAGGAGCTTATTTTGTGGGTTAGCCCATGTTAATGTTGCCATCCTGACTCTAAATTGGCATGGCTTCTCCCTCCCAAATGGTCCCCTGGGGTAGGATTTCTTCCCAATCCCCACCACCCACAAGTCTAACTTCAAATTGAGAGTCGGGCAGATCAGGCTCTCAATGACAAGCAGCCCTGCAGGTTCCAACCAAATAAACTTATCTGGCATCAGTCCCAAAGTAGACAGATGAGAAACTAATGTCGATGCTCAGTAATAGCAGATTTACATGGCAATAACTCACATAACATCTCATTGAAGAATCAGGCCATTGGAATCATTAAAGTACAATTGAGGTGCCCACAATCATCAACTTGCCTTGAAAAGCACCCGTATCATGTCACCTGTACACATACCCTCACCATGGTCATCCAGTTGAAGCTCAAACACAATGAAGAAGTTATGCCACTTCCATCAGGTTCCATTGCCAAACATCTCACTAGGTCCACATCTTCTTTTGTCATGCTACAGATACACATGATGGCATTGGCAATAACAGTTCCAAACTCAGAACATGGTGGATGAAGGAACATGGATTCAGTGCAGAATCATCATCATACTTTTGACACTAAACATGATCAAGCTCTTGGGAACGTCATATGGTGGATGCCAAAAAACTTAAGATTCAATTTCCTTTTGAGGGTGACACATTTGAAGATCCCATGTCTTGTTCCTTAAATTGCCACCCACCTCACTCTTTTTTCCGAAAGTAAGCTGTCAATCCTTCCCACATCTCCAGTTACTACTATCACCGGCTTTTCCTTCAAGCCAAAGTCAATACTGCCTTATCTTGGCTCTTTCTTGGGTTGCAAATCGGAAGGCCCTTCTTCACTAATCACCCTTTGGGCAATGCCCATACCACAATCCAAGTCCACCGCACATGAATCTTCACTTTGGGCCATTACATCTTGCACCTCATCTACAACCCAATCATTAATTGCATCAATCTCTTCTTGAACAATGTTACTACCATTTCCAATCATGTCCAATGAAAAATGTTGCAACCGGAGATTATAATGAACAAAAGTGAGGTCATTCAGTCGCTTGTGTTCTATACAATTTCTTCCATTTGCATGCAGCTGCTCTGATAAATTCCTCTGTAGTGCATATCGTGATGCACCACAACATGTCTGACTAAGAATCCGGATGGCAAATCGTTGCAAATCAGGGCAATGGCCCCCATAGGAGGCCCACCACTGAGCTGTAATTACAATTCAATAGAAAAACAAGTTAAATATTTGTCTTGTGGATGATATGTTATAATCAACATTTTGAGCTTTCAAAAAGAATCAGTGTTGAGGCTAACCTGGAGGCATCCTTGTTCTTTGATCAATAGCGCTCCCATGACCGAAAGATCCGTTGGCTGCTCGATACTCATCAAGCTGTAGAGATATTAAATCCTGAACCTGTCGATCCTTTACCATACGGACTATGCAACACAAAAGGCCACTGGCTACCTCCGCATCAGCTAAGAAATCACTCGAATAGAATAAACTTGGATTCAAGAAGTAACCTGCTGAATGGAGGGGGCTATGCAGAAAGTTGTCCCAAATATCATCAATAAGTCCCCAAAAAGGCAGGTATTTGGTTTTCTTGTCTTTAAACTCCGTTTTTATTGTCTCCTTCATCTGATCCATGGTTTCATATATGTAACCCATCTGAGGCCTATGATCTCTTCCATTAATCAGACAGAGTACTCGCACAAGAGGAATAGCTGCTTTCAGGACCATTTGGGCACCACTCCAAAATGAGGGCTCCCCTACCAAATCAGCCACGCACTTTCCTTCTGTACTTGAAGCCCAAACCGAGGTATTCCAAGCAGATGAGGCAAACATGTTCCTCAAGTTCTCCCTTTTAGATACAATATTTTCCAAAGTCAAAAATTGCATTGCAGACTTATACCTGGAGGGTTTAAGTAGGTCCTCCCCACTAGTATGTTTCTTCATAAGCTCAAAAACTGTTGAGTGGCCATAAATGAACTTTGTAATGGCCTTGGCTCTATCTAAAACTCTTTTGATAGAATCCATCATCCCAATCTTTTCTAACATGAGGTCTATGCAGTGGGATGCACAGACACTCCAAAATATTGTCCTGTGTTTTTCCATAAATTGTTTACCCAGAGTCTCCATACAACCTGATGTGGTATGTGCAATGACTTGAACCACATTTTCAGCTCCAACTTCCTCAATAATTTCGTCAAGCACTGACAGCAAGGCATCAGCATCATCAAAAGAACCCATAATTTTGACAGATCTTAGAAATATTGGGCCCTGTGGACAATCCACTAGAAAATTAATCAGGTTCTGACCGTTCCCATCTGTCCATCCATCCAACAAGATGCTGCACCCTGTCATTCCCCAGGAATGTCTGACCTCCCTCACATACTGGTGTATTTCTTTCACTTCTTCCTCAAGGATCCACCCTTTAAGTTCCTGGCAACTGGGAATCTTATACTCCATTAGTCCACAGCCTATAATAGCATCTATCATTTTCCAGAAGCTAGGGGACTTGACAGCATTGAAATCAAGACCAGCATCATAGAAAAATCTTCCAATGCACCTTTGAGCATGCCTCAAAGAGTCCTCCTCCCCTTCATCGCTCTTAATGCCTGTGGATGAGTGGAAAATTTTGTTGGGAACTTTTCTTTCCACACACTCATCCAGTGCAGAGTTCAGTATCACACGCTTTCCCTTCCCCTTGGATCCAGGTTGACTATGATTTGGATTGGCAGAGTTGGAACACCAATTCCTCTTCAACGGAAGATCTGGGTGGTAAAGCTGCCCAACTTCCCTAGTCAGGACTCCTTTCTTTGTGTCAAGGAAACAGCTTCTCATCTGGACCTTCACATCTTCAGGAACTTGTTCACATGGTACTACATCCCCACGTACACCAGCTAAGTGTTGCTTAAGACGAGTGGAACCACTAACCACTTTTGCACAGTAGTTGCATCTGAATCTCTTCTTTTGTTCGTCCACCGGAGTCCCATGATCATGAACATTGCTAGATGCTCCACTTGAATCCATTCTCTGAAAAAGTAGTCCAAGATAGGGTAGTGGTTATCTCAAAAGTTAGAATTTGACAGGGACTTAGATTACTTAAAGTCCAAAATCTGAGGATTTCTGCAATGGTGTACTATAATCCAAGACAATGAACAAGGTGAAAATAAAAGAAACGGTGAAGCGGCTACCACATCAACCAGAATAAATTATCGCGTCTAACATATCATATCAAGCTTCGCAAACCTAGACTCCATACCACCATATTCGGCTGCCCCCTCCAAGACGCAATCAAATGTTAGAATGCGGCAGAACGACTTTACTGATCACAATAGACCCCCAGATCAAAATTTCCCCTTTTACAACACACTGATAGAGGTAATGGTAGTTCAGAGTTCCAGACGACTCCTCTTGGGGTCTGTCAGATTGGATGGGGAAAAACACTACGAGTCAAACAATGGAGATGAAACAGAATTGATATCTTCCGATTGTTTTTCGGCAATTCATCCTAGAACCAATAAATCAAAGAATTAATCATGAGTCACAAAAACCGTCCTGAACTATAAACGCGTCAATTCCAGTAATTTCAGTTTGCAAATACACGAAAATTTAGAAGGGGGAAAGAATAAAGAAAACCCCTGTAGTATAACTTTGACTAGTAACAAGAAATAATAAGCAAGTTCACCCAAATCACGGATTCTTCTCTCTGTGATACAGAAAACAAAACAAGACAAAAATAAAATAAAACACTTTTTTTAGTAAAACCGTTATGCTTCAAAACCTTGAAATATATGGAACTCGTATTAGTTGAAGTGGGCATTAATCAAAAGCTTGACAGATGTGAGAAATCAATTCCAACACATCAAAAGCTTACTTTTCCCCTCTTATTTTCAAAGAAAAATGAGAGAGAGAGAGAGAGAGATTTAACGGTTGAAGAATATTCTTTGAACTCTTTCCTGAACTGGAAAACAAAAAAAACATTGCAGTTAAATGGGCAACCATCAAAAACCTTTATCTAAACTAAGAAACCTATTGCAATGAAAAGGGTATTCGTCCAAACTCCAAGGTTTTGTTGGAGTAGACATATCAATATAAATACAGATAATAGTGGTAAAAAACAAACGAAGTCACGAACTACTTCAACCAAGTAGAGGTCTAATCTGATTTTTCATCACTTCATTTGTTTATTTATGTTATGGCTTGCCTGATGACCTAGGATTAAAACAAACTACATTTTCCCATCGAAACGAAACAAAAAGAACAGAAAAGAAAAAGAAAATCTACAATAGTTAATATTCAAGGGTTGAGAGAGAGAGAGAGAGAGAGAGAGGCAGACAGAGAAATCCATTAAAAGGGCAGCCTGCGTACAAAAAGGTTGGATTCTTACCTTGACGGTGCAGTTGAAAACGAGGAAGAGGAAACCTCCCGTACCCCACTTACAGAGAGACTGATGAGAGAGAGAAAAGCAAGTCCCGAGGAGTCGAGGACCTAACCCAAAAAATAAATAAATAAATGCAGGAGAGAATGAGATAGCAATGGGCAATAGTATAATCAGATGAGAACGCTCCCAGCGTTGAAAAATACGGAAACCCTCTTTGTTTTCTAGATTGACGAAGTGAGAGCAATAAATCGTATTATAGATAAATAGAGGGCGCCCCTAGTTATTATCTTAGTAATATAGGTGAGCGCGACCATCCTCATCCGGTAGAAGCGATCTATATAATATTATCGTGCTTTTATTATTTATTATCTAAAAGATAAGGATGGAAAACTCACCTGCCGAATGCCGTAGATTGTATTTAGGGTAAATTTTTTAAATTACCTTTATCGTTTAGTAATTCATTAAGTGTGTCTTTACTATTTGAAAATTGAGTAATGTTATCTTATATTTTAGTATTTCGTTAAAATTCACGTACACAATGTTTAACTGCAATTGTTGCGGGGGAAGCGGCTCAGCTCCGCAAGTGCTACGGGAGGAGCGTCTCTGGCTCCGTTAACTACAAGTGCTCACTCGAAGCCGAAGTTGTGTCCAGATCCCTCTATTGGTTGCTATGGAAACAGAAGAAGTCGATGATGACGATAAGGAAAAGATGGAGAAATTTTTTAAAATTTTTGCAACGTTTGTGTTCAATTGAGAGAGAAAAGAACAGGCTAAATTTTTCGGCTTCGATGATTCAATTCCTCTTCTTCAACGCTTCTAGGGCCTTCTTCCAAGCACCATGAATAGGCTAAATAATCGAAAGATATTGGAAGCTAAGCTGTCTTCGGTCTAGTTTTCGTAGGAGATTCTGAAACACTATAAATCAAATGGCGGGAGTCATTAGCGGTTTCCCACCTGTTTTGCCAAGCTGTCGATGATTTTGTAGTTAATTTTTATTAATCACTAATAATTACTAATTATATAAAAATGATAATGGGGTGGGTTTAGGTGAGTTCAGGGGCAAGGCACCCCACTCTTCATTAAGGATGGGGAATCCTCAAATTTCTCTACCCTGTCTCTAGTACTGGACAGGTTCAAGTAGAGGTGTAAATTGGGTCATGTTGGACTGGCACGACACGATCTGCACCATCATGCTGGCCCACGGGGTGTCCTGGGTCGTGCCTCCCTCCCTTAGGATAATTTGGGGATCAGTTCGTTACGGCCTATTGTGCCATGGGCCGGGCTAGTCAATGGGCTGAGTCTTGGGCCAGGCCAGGCCGCGGACCAGACCAAGCCATGAGAGGTTCATTTAAAAAATGACAAAGATGTTTAAATTTTTATTTCATATGATTTTTTATGTATACAATTAGACATATTCATGGGTTGGGTAGCCTGTCGGCCTGACTCGTTATTTTTTAGGCTTGGACATTTATCAGACTTATTTTTGTTTGATATGATAAATTTATAATATCTAATATGTGTTAGAATTTTCTATAAGTTTTATGTATTTTTTATTTTTTATGGTTTTATTTATTTTTTAAATTTTTATTATTTAATTATGACAATATTTGTTAACCCATTTACTCAAAAGATTGGACCATTATGGTGTAAGTCATGTAGGTTGGGTTTAATTTAATCTTAACTAAGATCCAACCCTATGCATTAGACCTAAGGCTTTAAATCAAAGTCAAACCTGATTTTGTGCAACTTGGACCTAACTTCCATTAAAATTTGATGCACTTGGGATATTCTTGGACTTGGTTTTGTCAATTAGCCCTATGATAAAATTTGACATAAAATATGTGTATAATTGCATGTACATGCATATATGCAAATATGTGCTATATATGTATATATGATTGTATGTAATCAAGTTTAACTTTAGATACCTAAGGGCTAGGCTTGGGCCGAACCTCACAAATAAAAAAGTCCAAACTTTTGATCCTACGCCTAGGCCCAAGTCGAGGATCAAAAATCGAAGCTAGCTTGTTTAAAATTATGAGTTGGGTCAATTTGAGCTTGAGTTAAGCCCACCTAATTTTTCTCCCTATGGACCATGGACTATTGACCATCAATTAGATGCAAAACTAGTTTTCTTTTCATGTTAGTTTACATTTTTGCTTTGATTTCTATAATTAATAAAAATAATTCCCATGTATCACATTTATTTTAGTTTAATATGATGAACATATAATATTAGAGATGCACCCAAATGTATTCTTTTTACAAAGTTACTATGTTTTTAATATTTTTATGTCTCTATCTTTTTTAAAATTTTTATTATTTATTTATTATATCATGGGTTGATCCATTTAACCTAAAAGGTTGAACCATTGACCTACAACTGGAAAATGGTTTTGTTTTTGGGTGAATTTTAAATCTTGCATTTCATTTTCATCAAATAAAAATACTTTTATTTAGCATGCTTAATGTTGTTTCAGATGATAAGTATATAATATTAGAGATGTGTCTAAAGTTTTTAGAATTTTTATATTTTTGGTAATATTTATATTTATATTTATTTTTAAATTTTTATTAATTAACTATGAGAAAGATGGCTGAACTATTTTTGCAAATCGTTAACACATTTGGCAAAGATGGCTGAACTATTCGCTTGAAAGTCAAACAAAAGGGTGGCTTGTTTAATTATTTTCCGTGTTGGTATTAAACATAGGTTTTTACATTATTAAAAATATTGGATATAGATGTAATTTGTATAATCCATTAGTGAGAAACAAAAAAATACTTAGAATAAAGTATCTAATTAAGGGGAGAGAATGAGAGTTAATGCCTAAATGAGAGGGAATTTAATGAATTGGAAATCAATAGTACTTTAAATTACATTTTTTACCCGAATAGTTAAAGAGGGACTAAATTCATAAATATGGGTGTTTTAGTGAAGAAAGCTCATCTATTTAATGTGTCTTAAATATAAGATTTAATGAAAGGAAATTGGAGTTAATACCTTAAATATAGGACTTAATGATGAAGAATATAATGAATTTAATAAAAGTAGCAACTCAAATTATGTTTTTTGCCCTCATAATAAAGGGATACCAATAAGGGTATTTTAGTAAAAAAATCCAGAATCTAGACCTTGTTCGTACTAAATGTCTCAATTTTGGATTGACCCATAACTCAAATATAACCTATTTATGGCCCCCAAATTTTAAGTATTAGCTCATGGATATATATTTTTAGTTTTAATTTAGAGATTTTGATTTAAACTATATTTAGATGAAGATAACATTAAATAGTTTTTATAAATTTGTTTAAGTAATGGATTATTGAATGTTTATTTTACTATTTAAATATGTTTATTATTTAATTTAAAAGGACTAATCAAATTGTTTTCGTAGTTAATTAAAGTTACATTAATCCTGTCATGTTACTTATAAAATAAATAGATCGTGTTCGTGTTTAAAAATTTGACACGATTAATTAATCGCATCATATTTATATGTTGACCCATGCATTCAAATACCCTTACCTTCATACAACACAAACAAACATAACACAAATTGCCACTCCTACTATTTTGAGCCAAAATGAATGATAATTATGGATCTTTTGATAACAACCAAAGTAATGAAAACTGAATGGCTTTTTCAAATACCCTTACCTCAATACAAAACAAATATGACATGGGAACATGAATTGCCACACCTATTTCTGTGTCGATGGTCAAAATTTTGAACCATTGAATGGTGAATATGGACCTTTTGATAATGGTTGAAGTAGTGAGAAATCAACTATATAGCATGCTGGGTTGATTAATACACCTTTAAATATTTTATTCTATGTGACTGTTTTATCCATTCTAAGACAATAAGTTATTTAGTTTAGCCACTTCAACATTACAAATGGCCCCTCAAGTAAAGTTGGGATCTCCTAAAAGCAAAAACTATGAGAGAATGGGATTCAATCGCCCAATGGAAACAAAGAAGATTATATTTAATAAATTAATAAAATTATATTTAAAAAGATTATTTAAATTTACAAGAATATATAATTTATTATACATATTTCAATATATCATCATATACATATATTACTATATATGAACATTATTTCTATAATACATGTATATAAAATATTATATATAATATTTTTGGTAGAAAAGATATTCCATAGGAAACAAAGAAGATTATATATAATATTTATACTATTTATATTAATTTTTTAGGCCATGCAAAGCTAGGCTATGCAAGTCTTGGAAAAAATGATCAACCTTACCCTCAAGTATTATATTGGATTAATGCCTAAAGTATGTTAGAATGAGTGGTGTTTGTAAGTATTAATCTTATATGAAATACTATAACTTAACTTTTATGGCCTATATGGAAATCAAGACAAAAATCAACATTATGTGGTAATATTGGTTTTTAAGTTCTATTGGAGTGAGGGCACGTGCCATGTGTGTACAAGATAAAATGATAAAAGCTAAAAAGATGAATGATATTTAGATTTTGAATTTTATATGTTATAATTCATAGATTAAAATATTTAAACAATTGGCATTTATAAGCATTAGCCTTATATGATATAATGCTAGTAAAATAATATAATATAACTTTTATGACTCACAATACCAACATTATATATTATAGAATTGATGTAAATGCTAACATTTAGATGGTGTTTGGTTCCACTAGTGTTTATCTAAAAACATAGGTATGTTTCTACCAATGCCCAAGAGTTTTTTCACAATTTAGCTTATGTAGCACCTAATGGTGTCTAATAGTGATTAGTTGCCAAAAACCATAAAAAAAATGTTTTTTTCAACAACTTTTCTCGCTTTTCAAGGGATATGTTGTACAAAACTTCTATTAAATCAATGACAATAATAGAACTAAACAACCCCTTAGTAATCATTGAAAATGTTATCACTCAACAACAAATGAATTGTATACTCTTTTGTTGTTTTGCTCAATAAAAGCACTTGATGAAAGAAGTAAAAGTCCCCATGTCCCAACTATGTGAGTTCTTGGTTTTGATGAGGTGGTACGTTTTATCAAAACAGTGGTTATCAGTGGACGATGATCATGGAAGGTTTACGGCTAGAACAATTGAAGTTGCATGTCACTCCAACAGATTTTTTTTTTTGGAAAGGCCCTAATCAACATTTCATGGCTTGACTTTTAATGTTTTTTCCAATGGTTGCAAGAGTCAAGTACAATTATGAATTTTTTAGCATAGTAACAACCATTTAGGA